CCAAGATGGCGGCATAGGTAAACACCTATACTGCTGCCTCGCACAACAATTTCAAAATTGCAACTGGAAGACAGAGCAGACATCATCCAGAACCACCGGAAAGCTGGCTGAGTGGAAATTCTACAACTAGAAGGAAAGATAAAAGGACACTGAGACCCAGAGGAGCTGTGGAGGACAGAGGTGTGGAGACCCGCGTGCGCGCGGAAAGGGCGGGTGGCTGAATACGCGCTGGCTTACTTGCAGCACTCGGAGAGGGTGGGCAGCAAGCATGTGGCTAGCTTTCTCATTCAGGAGGGAAACAAAACCTCCCGACTGCACTGAAATCCAGTTCCGGGTGAGACTTTGGATACCCAGACTCATTCGGGGAGAAACTGGACTGTCTGGCAGCAGGCAAAACTCAGGGCAACCTTCTCTCAGAGGTGCGTGCAATCATTGCCGTGGGACAGTGAGACACAGGGGCCTCGTAGGGTGGGGCTGACAGGAAACCAAGGCTGTCTGCTCAGCCCTGAGACTCCGCCCCATCTGAGCTAAGCACAGAAGCTCTCCCAGCGGAGACACAGATGATCCTCACAGCCAATTGGCCTTGAGGTCAACTCCCCCAAGTGATACTAACAACAATCTAGGCTTAACTAAGACTGCACACACAGCCCACAAAGGGGCACACCAAGAGTGTCCACCTTAGGTAACTGGGGAGGCTGAGCCACTGGGCCCTGCTAGGACACCTAGCACACAAAGCCACTCCATCAAATCAGGGAAGCAGCCAAAATGTGGAGACAAAGAGGCAGGCCACAAATGAATGAAATGGAGGAATGTAAACAAATGGATATAGAGTTCAAAACCACGGTTATAAGGTTTTTCAAGAATTTCCTAGAAAAGGCTGATAAATTTAACAAGACCCTCAAAGATATAAAAAAGGATCAACTAGATATTAAGCATACACTGACTGAAATAAAAAATATTATACAGAGACCCAACAGCAGACTAGAGGAACGCAAGAATCAACTCAAAGATTTGGAATACAAAGAGGCAAAGGACACTCCTCCAGAGAAGCAAGAAGAAAAGAAAAAAAGAATCCAAAAAGTTGAAGATAGTGTAAGAAGCCTCTGGGACAACTTCAAGCATACCAACATCAGAATTATGGGGGTCCCAGAAGAAGAGAGAGAGCAAGATACTAAAAACCTATTTGAAAAAATAGTGACTGAAAACTCCCCCCACCTGGTGAAAGAAATAGACTTACAAGTCCAGGAAGCACACAGAACCCCAAACAAAAGGAATCCAAAGAGGACCACACCAAGACACATCATAATTAAAATGCCAAGAGCAAAAGACAAAGAGAGAATATTAAAAGCAGCAAGAGAAAAACAGTTAGTTACCTACAAGGGAGCACCCATACGATTATCGGCTGATTTCTCAACAGAAACTATGCAGGCCAGACGGGAGTGGCAAAAAATATTCAAAGTGATGAATAGCAAGAAACTACAACCAAGATTACTCTACCCAGCAAAGCTATCATTCAGAATTGAAGGTCAGATAAAGAGCTTCACAGACAAGAAAAAGCTAAAGGAGTTCATCACCACCAAACCAGAATTATATGAAATGCTGAAAGGTATTCTTTAAGAAGAGGAAGAAGAAGAAAAAGATAAAGATAAAAATTATGAACAACAAATACATATCTATCAACAAGTGAATCTAAAAACCAAGGGAATAAAAAATCTGATGAACAGAATAAACTGGTGAATATAAAAGAATCAGGGGCATAGAAGGGAGTGGACTGACAATTCTTGGGGGAAAAAGGGAGTGGGGGGTGTGGGAAGAGACTGGACAAAAAGTGTACACCTATGGATGAGGACAGTGGGGGGGGGGGAGGTAAGGCAGAGGGTGGGATAGGAACCCTGGTGGAGAGGAGCTATGGGGGTAAAAGAGGAACAATTGTAATAATCTGAACAATAAAGATTTATTAAATTAAAAAAAAATAAAAAAAGATGTCCCCATGTATAAGATGCCCCCCACTTTTCCAAACCAAAATTAAGAAACCAATATTTTAAACATTTTGCTGGTTTTCTTCTTAAGGCCTTCTTCTTTTTTGGCATCTCAAGGAGTTGTTCTTCCTGTTTTATCCACTATCTGATCATACACTCAGTGGGAGGAGGCCCAGATTGTCTCTCTGCAGCCCTATTTCCAGGCTCTTTTGCATAGCTGATTACATTCAGTTAGAATTTTGCAGAGTAAGACTATCGCTTTATGGTATTTATCTTTTTATTCTTTGACATTTTTATAGACTCAGAACATTCCAGTCCCTGTGGAATCTGCACACTCTCCACCTCCACCTCCAATTATGGCATCAGCTGACATCAGTAACAATAAGGCTCTTGATTGGAGGAAGCCTATTTGACAACGTATGGGCAGCTACCTCCTTGGCTGACTTTTGTGTATAAGAGGCCCCTCTATTTTCAGTCTAACAATTTTAGAAAAAAATATTGTCTTATACATGAAAAAAATATGGTAGCTGATACTGATTGACTTAGAATAAATTTGATACTCCTAGATTAAATGAGTGTCTATAGTAATATTATCTAATGTCTAATGAGACAGTGACCTGATTACAAAAATTTTAAAAGAAATCTATCAATGTGCCTAAAAAAACACATTCTTGCTCATAACTTTACCCCATCATTGAAAAGGGGAAAAAAGAATATAACCCTGCCACAGTGAATGGCTCCCCTGGCTTTTGACTTGCCATCAATGGAGGATAGGTGTTCAAACCATGGTCCAGTCCATCCATGTGAGCACCCTGAGGCCAGACCATGGACAGGGAAGTACCCTGTGGCACGATGGCAATCTCCTGTCTGCAACTGCAGAAAAGATGGGAAAAAGTGAACTCAATTCAACGTGTAGTTTATAACAGCACCGGGGCTCTCCTGTCTGAATCAAGTTAAAATGTGCAGGAGTACACTGAGTTGACTTAAAATGTCCTTTCTGTGTCATCAGCTGAGTATAAAGCTTTCTTTTTGGTTTTCCAGGGTGGGACAAAAGTTGGTTACAGTTATGAATAAATGAGACACAGTTTATTCTTGTATCATTATTTATTAACTAGAGGCCTGGTGCACAAGATTTGTGCACTTGCAGGAATGGGGGTGTCCCTTAACCCAGCCTACATCCTCTTCAATATGGGACCCCTTGGGGGATGTCTGACTGCTGGTTTAGGCCCCATCTAAACTGGCAGTCTGACATCCTTCTCACAATCCAGTACTGCTGGCTCCCAACTGCTCACCTCCCTGCCTGCCTGATTGGCCCTAACCACTTCTGCCTGCCAGCCTGATCACCCCTAACCACTCCCCTGCCAGCCTGATCTATGCTTAACTGCTCCCCAGCCGGCCCGATAGCCCCCAACTGCCCTCCCCTGCCAATCTGGTTGCCCCCAACTGCCCTCCCTTGCTGGCCTGGTCCCCCAACTGCCATCCCCTGCAGGCATGGTCGCCCCCAACTGCCCTCCCCTGCAGGCCTGGTTGCCCCCAACTGCCCTCCCCTGAAGGCCTGGTCCTCCCCAACTTCTTCCCCTGCTGGCCTGATCACCCGAAACTGCCCTCCCCTGCTGGCCATCTTGTGGTGGCCATCTTATGACCACATGGGGGCAGCCATCTTGTGTGGGGTATAACAGTCAATTTGCACATTACCTCTTTATTATATAGGATTATTGTAACATTTTCCATATGAACAACTGCAAACCTACTTTTGCAACACCCTGTATTTCAGTCAAACTTCCACTTAGGTAATAAAATTATATTATTTAGCATTTTATTTAATAACACTAATTTAACCAACACAAAAATTATAATATATCCCACACATACACTGATTATATATATATATATATATATATATATATATATATATATATATATATAGTTGAGTACTGCCAATTAGCACACCAAACACCCTATGAGAGCTCTAGTATTATCTGATGCAGATGTTAAAGATTAAACTCTGGAATGCCCCATTCAAAATCAGTTTTCCATGGCTGCTGTTTCATTTGTGATGATAATGTAATTTGGTTTTGGAATACATGGCAAGCACTATGGTACAAGAGGTCAAACTAAGTTTCAATTTTTATTTTGGAAAGAGTCAAGAGGAGGATCAGGAAGAATATCTTAATAAGTCCTATTTTTGTGAGCACATTTAAGTTTATTTTCAAAAATCCATGGAAACCCTTCTTGGAAAAATCTAGTCAACAAGTTCAATTTATCTTAAGAATATATTTAGTAACTGGAAGCCTTTTTTTTAAAATCTGTGTGAATCATATGTATATCATAAATAAGACCAAACTGAAAGTAAATGAATTTATATGTTTGTATTTAATTTAGAGTTGAAGCTGACCAATAATATCCATTAAAATAACATTTTGGCAGTTTGATTCAAATTGAGGTAGTGATAAACTGGCAAAAACAGATTTTGTCAATCCCAGGTCACTACAAAGTAGGCAAACTTCTGTTTTAAATAGTCCCTACTGAATCAAAATTAATTTTTCTTAGACTTACAAAATACACTTCTTTTCCATACTCTGAATACAGTTGGAGATGATAAAATGCAACCAATAATGTTGTCTTCCTTATACTTCTTTTAACACCATTCTGGTCACGAAATCTAAGAGTCTCTGAGGAAAACCTTCATAGAATTTGTTTTTCTTACCTCAGGCTCTCTCTACCTTTACTGGAATTTCTTGGTTTCTGTTTGTTTACATTTTCCTTTCCCAATCACGTTAAGCTCATATAATGATCGCACTGATATCCTGCCTCTGAAATCCACTGACTTCAGAGCCCCCACTGCCATGTTTTATTATCCACAACAGTAAATTACCGCATTCCTCCAGAGGTCCCCAACCAGGCAGAGATGGAACGATCCAGACGCAGAAAGTGAAGTCAGGCAGTAGAACCACCCTAAAGCGCCCCTGCTCTTTTCCCAGAGTTTCCCAAGGTGAATGAAAGAAAGCACCAACTGCCCTAGCTGGTTTGGCTCAGTGGATAGAACATTCGACCATGGACTGAAGGGTCCTGGGTTCAATTCCAGTCAAGGGCACATACCTCAGTTGCAGGCTCAATACCCGGCCCTGTCAGGGCCAATCGATGTGTCTTCTCACATCAGTGTTTTCTCTCTCTCTCTCTCTCTCTCTCTCTCTCTCTCTCTCTCCTCCCTCTTCCACTATCTCTAAAAATCAATGGAAAAATATCCTCAGGTGAGGATTAAATAATAAGTAAATAAATAAATACCATAAATAAAATAAAGAAAGCACCAATCATCACTTGGCTAATTTATATTGACTAATTTGATTACTGATTCATGAGTTCCGAACTTAGGCTCCATTCCTTTTATCTTTGCTATCTTTGGTAACAATTAAAAAACATAAACCCAAAAAGTGCGTGAACAAAGATATTCATAGACGTATTGTTTCCAACAGGAAAAAGTGAAAAATCTTATTTTCTAACAAAAACATTTGAATTACAGTATATACTTATTGTCAAATATATACTACATATATTATATGTATAATATTATACATAGTTATGTTATATGTTATGTCATTAAATATTTATATAATATGTTTATTCAATAATTTTTAAAATAGTACAATGAAAATAATTGTTTTCACTAAGATTACAATTATGAAAAAAATATATACATCAAAGCAACCTTAAAGGAATAAACAAGTAGGTTACTTCCTGGGATTGCAGGTAATTTTCCCTTGTAAGCATCATTTTGTAAGCATCATTTTGTGTTATTTTACTTGAAATAAACAAAGAAATGTAGGAAAACACAACTCACTTTATTTATTTGTAGATCAATTTAAACAAATAGTTAAAAATTTCATTTAAGAAGAATAACCACAAAAGTTTTCAGTAAGTAGAATGCATTTTGCTTACTTGCTCTAGATAAGCAACTGGTGGTCAAGCCTGACCTTTATATTCTTGTGCTTATTTACCCATCACTGATCCATGTAATCCTGCCCTCCTACGCCAGGCTGCCGTGACGGTTTCCAAAGCCTGGCCAGTTTCTCTTCCATTTGTTCTGCAACAAGTTCTTAGGGCATCTTGGTCACGGAGGTGGTTCATATGAGGGAGTGAGACTGGGTCTGGGAAAATTCAACACTATTCCTGGAAAACTTTATCAGAAGGCCAATGGTACCTATCATTTTTATAGGTGAATGAAATATCATGGTTTAAAGTTAATACCTTTGCGTTGTAAGAATCACTTGGGGTTCTGGCATCCCAGACCATAGAATTCCTTTGCCCAATGAGCATGGAGAACATTTCCTCTCCTTTGGTTTTCTCCCTAAAAATGTTTTCATTCACATGCCATCAAATTTTAATAAATTTCTTTCAAATGAAATGGAAACTGTTCTGTCCCATAATAACAGTCTGTTTAAGCTGCTGTAACAAAATACCAGAGACTGAGTGGCTTAAGCCATAGAAACTTATTCCCTCACAGTTCTGGAAGCCAAGTCCAACATCAGAGAGTCAGCACGGTAGTTTTCAGCATGTGAGAGCTCTCCTTTTGGCTTACAGACAGCTGCCTTATCATTGTGTCTTCATACCACTGGGAAAGAAAATTCTCTGGTGTTCTTTCTTTAAAAAGCACTAGTCTCATCATGAGGATCTCACCCTCATGACCTCATCTAATTACTTCCCAAAGACCCCATCCTTTAATACCATGGCATTAGAGGTTAGGGATTCAACATATCAAGATGGAGAGGACTGCCGAGGCCGGTTTGGCTCGGTGGGTGGAGCGTCGGCCTGCGGACTGAGGGGTCCCGGGTTCGATTCCAGTCAGGGGCATGTGCCTTGGTTGTGGGCACATCCCCAGTGGGGGGTGTGCAGGAGGCAGCTGATCAATGTTTCTCTCTCATCGATGTTTCTGGCTCTCTGTCCCTCTCTCTTCCTCTCTGTGGAGAATCAATAGAAAAAAAGAAAAGAAAAAAAAAAAGATGGAGAGGACACAATTCAGTCCATAGAACCATCAAAAACCCTGATTTTGCCTGGCCAGTGTGGCTCAGTGGTTGAGAATTGACCTATGAACCAGAAGGTCGTGGTTGGATTCCTGGTTGGGATACATGGCCCCGTCCGGTTGCGGGCTTGATCCTCAGTGTGGAGTATCCAGGAGGCAGCAGATCAATGATTCTCTCTCATCATGGATGTTTCTATCTCTGTCTCCCTCTCCTTTCCTCTCTGAAGTCAACAAAATATATTTAAAAAAAACAAAAACCCACAACCCTGATTTTTACCTTTTCCATTTTTTATCTTCTCAACTTTAAAAATGTGTTATATTATAATATTTTACATGTCTCGAACTATAAAATCCAAATCTAACTCAAAGGTTTCTGCACATTAGTAAATATCAACTACCTGGCTCTTTTTCATGTAGGCATTTGGCCCTTTATTTTCAAGAGAACCTGTCCATATTTTCTGCTACTGCTTTTTTTCTGAGTGCATCAGTCAGGGTCTAGTCTAGAGAGAGAAATCTCACTAGTTATTTAAAGAAAAAATAATTTTAACATACATAATTTTTAGATGTGAAGTTGTTAACTAGTTAACAGAAGAGTAAAAACAGAATTGGAAGGTACCATGGGGGTAGCAGGAAAAAGCTAGAAAATAAAGAAGATAGGTCAGCATTATTAAAATTTAACCTAGAGTAGGTATTCCATGAAGGTGAAACTTCTCAAAAACAGGAGTTTGCTGCTAGACTAATGGCACTGCCTGTGAGCTTGGAGAAGAGATTCCTGGGCTGGCACCCCAACTTCTGCAGTCTGGCCTCCTGATGGCTGGTACTGAAATCAATGACATGGTATGTGATGAGCTGGTTCTTTCTGCAAGTTTTGGGAAAGCAGCAAAGTGGATTCAGCTGCTGCTTTGAGGAAGAACTTGCGCCCCTGAGGTAAAGGCTGCCATTAGGTTGACACAGGAAAGAGAGGCTGATGGGAGGTACAGGGTTGACTCCACATGGAAGTGATTTAGTAGGGCTCACCATACAGCCAGAATTGCATTTAGAAGGTAGTTTAGTTCTCTCCTGCACATAAAATAAACAAAAAGGCAAGGCCACAGAGTTCTGGAATATAAGCCAAAATTGACATGGTTTTGGCCCAGATTTTCAGACACAGTTATCCACCATAATGGTCAATACACTTTTTTTTTATACTACTAGAAAAGATTCTCAGTAACTATTTCATTTCAAGTAAGTGTAGAAATCCCTTTCCTCGTCCCGCGTGGTCCAGGGTTCCAGTTCAGGGTTCGAGTTCTGGAGAAGGGCCGCACACAAATGAATGGAGACTTGAAGAAATTCAATTTGGCGAAATGGGGGGCCAGGCGGGAGCCCACCTCTAGTGGGAGGACTGCCCCTGCTCTGGCTTTTGCCATCCCTTTTATTGGGGTTCTGAGATACACCCATTGCCCTTAGGCAGGTAATTCCAGTAACAGACAGATTATCTTATCAATAAGGATTTACATGATTATTTGGTGGGGAAGTTGCCTCAGTTACCATTGTCAATTAGATAGAGAGTGGTTTGCTCTGACCTTTAGTTTCAAGGTTGACCAGCCTTCCCGGGTTCCCTTTTCACATAACTACCAAGTGACAATGTTCGGTTTCCGGCAAGTAAGGAAGCTTCAGATTGAATATTCCAAATGGCTCAGACTTTTACATGTTGTAAATGGAAGCCACTTTAAAAGCATGATTATCAGAGAGAAAAACCACCACAAATAATAAAATACCATCTTCATGTGTGAAATTATTGAAATTTAAAAAGCAATAGGACACCTGTATGTCCCCATTTGGAGAAGTGTCTATTCAGGTCCTTTGTCCATTTTTAAATTGAGTTGCTGTTTTTCTTGGTGTTGAAAACATGTAAGTTCTTTGTAAATTTTGGAAATTAGCCCCTTACCAGATGTATTATTGGTGAATATATGCCCCCATTCAGAAGGTTGTCTTTTCATTTTTTAAAAAAATTATTTTTATTGATTTCAGAGAGGAAGGGAGAGGGAGAGGAAGGGAGTGATAGAAACATCAATGATGAGAGAGCATCATTGATCAGCTGCCTCCTGCATGCCCCACACTGGGGATTAGCCTGCAATCTGGGCATGTGCCCTGAAGGAATCAAACCATGACCTCCTGAGTCCCGGGTCATAGGTGGACGTTCAACCACTGAGCCACACCAGCTGGGCTGTTGTCTTTTCATTTTGTTGATGGTTTCCTTTGCTGTGCAAAACCTTTTTAGTTTGATGTGGTCCCATTTGTTTATTTTTTCTTTTGTTTCTCTTGCTCAAGGAGATAGTTCAGAAAAAATATTGCTATATGAAATGTCTGAAATTTTACTGACTATATTTTCTAATAGGATTTTTATGGTTTCCTGGTTTACATTTAAGTCTTTAATCTATTTTGAGCTTATTATTGTGTGTGATTTAAGGAGGCAACCTAGTTTTTGTTTTGTTTTGCATGTATCAGTCCAATTTTCCCAACACTATTTATTGAGTAGACTATCTATACCCCATTATACGTTCTCACCTCCTTTGTCAAATATGAATTGACCATAAAGGGGTGGGTTTATTTCTAAGCTCTCTGTTCTGGCCATTGATCTAGATGCCTGATTTTATGTCAGTACCATGCTGTTTTGATTACTATGACCTTACAGTATAATTTGATATCAGGTAGTATGATGCCCAATGTCACTAATCATCAGAAGAAAGCAAATTAAACCAAAGTTAGATACACCTCACACCTGTCAGAATGGCTATTATCAATAAATCAACAACAACAGTGTTGGCAGAGATGTGGCAAAAATGAACCCTTGTTGCATGTTTTGTGGGAATCCAGATTGGTGCAGCCACTGTGGAAACAGTATGGTGATGAGTGCACGATGCAACAAGCAGGGGATGTGTTATAGAGTTGTACACTTGAAACCTATGTGGTTTTGTTGACAATCTTACCTCAACAGATTAAATAATTTTTAAATCAATAGGCAATCTAGTAGAATTTGATAACATTTGTACTCACCATTGCTGGTGGAATCTAGAACATAAATTAAAGAAGCTAAA